AGACACACAGAGAGAAGATGGATGTGTAAAAATGGAGCCAGAGATTGGAGTGACGGATCTACAAACCAGGGAATGCCAAGGATTGCTGGCAACCACCAGAAGCTAGGAAGAGGCAGGAACAATTCTTACTTGGCACCTTTAGAGGGAGCAAGGCCCTGCACCTTGATTTCAGGCTTCTAGCCTCTAGAACTCTGAGCGAATAAACTTCTGTTGTTTTAAGTCACCGTATTTGTGGTAATTTGGTATGGCAACACTACGAAACTAATATAACCTACCAGGTACAAGTAGTAACCTCCAAGTTGTGATAACCTGAATGTCTCCAGACATTGTTAAATATCCCCTGGGCAGGGTGCAGGGAAGAAGAGAATCACCTCTAGTTGAGAACCATTAAACAAAATCTAAGTCCTATAAAAGAATAACCTAGTGGGTGAAACATTTAAAAAACCCAGTCTCTAGAAAGAGCAGAAATCCTAGTTTTATTTGGCGTAAGTTTCACTGTTAAAATATCTTAATGACCCAGGTGGAGGTAGTTTGAAACATTAGTTTCCACACTGCCCTTCAAAATATATTTTATTGCAAAAATCATATTTTAAAGAAAAGGTCAATTTATTTGCATTTCTATGTGACCAAGTTTTAAAAATAGTTTTACAAGGCTGTGTAAAAGTACACATTGCTTTTGTCATTAGGCTTTTTAATTGTTCTTTAATTTTTTTTAAACTAATCTAAAAATGACCTTCTTGTCCAGTAGTTCCCATGTATATAAAAAAATATGAGTTCCCTATCTAGACTGTTACCTGTCCCTGACTTAGAAAGTCTGACTTATAAATGTCCCCATCGGGAATTTATTTTCTTGCCAAAACTTCTTTCCTCTTCTTTTCTTGACAAACTCTCTCTGGGGTATAGTGTCTAGGAATCAAGGTAGCCGTATTCCCCTTCTCTTCTTTTACTACTGCCGCTAGGGACAGGGGATAGGGATCCTATATTCCTAGAGCCCAGCGGTAGAACTCTAAATGTAGTATTGATAATTAGATATTTTAATGCTATAGTTCAGCTATATCATGGCTTAAATGGCTTTTACAATTTGGTGTGGGATCTCATGGTTATGTATAATGATAGTGTTGCTTCCACGGGGAAATATATTCTGAGTTTGAAACCTCTGTTTTATAATATATGTTATCCATTCCTAGGTTGTGTTTCTGTCATTGGGTTGCACATTTATATTGCTATTTATCAGAACGCTAAAACTAAGACTTATTAAAATAATTTTAATTATACATGTTGATAGCAATCAATACATTATGTGGATGAGAGAGAGAAAGGCAGGGAATGGTATTTATCCTAATAACTGTTTCTTATACCTTTCTTTAAATGATGTCCAGACCCTTCCAAGATTTTAAAATATAAGAGATTTGCGGGGGGTATGTTAGAGAAAATGCTTTTTTTTAAAAAAAAATAATTAATTAATTTATGGCTGTGTTGGGTCTTCATTTCTGTGCGAGGGCTTTCTTTAGTCGTGGCAAGCGGGGGCCACTCTTCATCGCGGTGCGCAGGCCTCTCACTGTCGCGGCCTCTGTTGTTGCGGAGCACAGGCTCCGGATGCGCAGGCTCAGCGGCCATGGCGCACGGGCCAAGTTGCTCCGCGGTATGTGGTATCCTCCCATACCAGGGCTCGAACCCGTGTCCCCTGCATTGGCAGGCAGACTCTGAACCACTGCGCCACCAGGGAAGCCCCAAAATGCTTATTCTTAAACAGAGGTATAGTTGAACTGATTTTCTGACTTAAATAAAAGCAAATCTTAAAACCCAATGCAGTTTTTTAGTGTTTATCTTTTTTTTCTTCCCAATTTACTTCAATTTAATAGGGCCCCATTTAAACTAGTGAAAATGTTACCTTAATATTAAATAGAAATTATAGCATGTTTATTTCATTTAAAATGTTAATAGCATAAATTATAAACCCTTCTAGGAATGTTTGTTTTAAAATGTAATATGTTAAAGATATCTAAGTGGAGATCATTTTGCAATTTCCCATGAAACAATATAGGTGAAAATTAGAATGTTACACAGTTCTTTGATGCAACACCCTCATGCCCCATCGCCCAAGTAGAGGGAGAAAAATCTTTTAATCTCTGTCACAACTACTAAAAGCTACTCTTTTATGCTGGCATTTTGGCCACTACCTGTAAAAGAATGCTGAGTGGAAAATTTCCAGCAATGATTAATAGAGGAGTGAGTATGATAACTTAAGGAATGCGTGTTATGATCTTGGCACCATCACTCAATATTATCCAGCTTTTCTGATCCTCCCTTCTCTATGAAATGAAACCCCAAGTAACAAGTCATTGGCAGAACTTGGACCAGGATACAAATCCCTGACTCTCCATTCTGTACTTCTTTTTGTGACTCAGCCTAATCCTTTCAGGGAAATATTCAAACCACATCTGCCTGAATCTCCTGCCAATTTCCTTTAACACTAACATCAGCTGCCTCAGCCTCCTGCCAGCTGTCCTCCTACTGAAAGCAGTAAGGTTTACATTCTCACTTTTTTGATTAAAAAATATCTTGGCTAAACAATGAACTTCTCACTTTAATATTCTAACACCTTCTGCAGACTGCCCTGCTCTTGTACTCAAGACTATTAGAGGAACTTTTCCCAAGACAAAAATCACAACAGTTATACATGCCCTTTTGCACTTGGGGCTTCTTCAGTGGAGTCTGGAGCCTGATCATGAATGCTTTAAAGGCAATAGGAAGTTAGGATACAGGTGGTGGCTGGATTATAGATGTCTGTTTGTATTTTTAACATATGAGTTGGCAATTGGAAGTGGCCACAACAGTTACTATATTCTGGAACTATCCAAAGTTTCCTACTCTTGAAGCTTGGTTTTTCCTTTTCCTCCTATTCCTTCAACTTTCATAAGCTTATATTTTGCCCAAGCCAAGCCTAGACCCCTTTTCTCTCCTTGTTCTAATGTAGGTCCTAGGGGGACCCATCCATCCACATCCTGTTGATGCAAAATGGGAAGATAACCCCAGCCTCAGAGCTCATCTCCTTGGCATTATCTCCAGCTCTAGTCTACCTCCAGAGTCCTTCAAAGATGTAAATCACACTTCATACTCTGTAGCTCACATACCAACTTGTATACACCACATAGGCTAGTTACAGTCAATACTATAAATGGGTGCAACTCTGACATTTTAATGACTCTCAGTCACAAATTGTGGGCCTAAACCAACATTATTATGATCCATGCAGCCCTCCAGGAACCAAATTTACTCAGCTTCATATTCCTTACTGGCATCAAGCATGTATGCTGTATGTGTTCACGTACTTAAGTGAAATGAGAATCAGAATGACAGCATTTTTTCAGCTTACGTCATCCTTACTATTGCTGCTACTGTGACTAAGAATAATGATAATGCTAATAATAATAGTCAGACCATCTCAAAAGGGTTATGAGCTTGTTTCGGGGATAAAAAGTGTGGTGAAGATCTTCATGATGGCATTCTGCTCTGCAATAGACTAGGCCAAGAAAAAAGGTCTCCCTAGCAAAGGAAGCAAAGATATCAAAGCTTATGTTTGCAAGCTTCACAGAACAGATGATAGAGTAGAACAGTTCTTTCTTTCCCATCTGCTGTTCCCAGATGCTGCTCCCTCCTGGCTTCCTGCAACCTGTAAGTGAGCTATGCCCAATAATAGAAAAAAAGAATTTTCATATTGATAGATGACTTTTTGGCAATGTGCGTGTGTGCTTGAGAGAGAGTGACAGAGAGAGAGAATAGGAATGAATGAATATTAGGTGTGGGTAGAGGAGAAGTTTTGTATTCCTGACAGGCTAGTGAGAAACTCAGGGCATATTTTCCTAAATAATCACTGTCAGAGGGTGGTATGATTTAGGTATGTTATTTGTTAAAGGATTATTTTATGGGAAAGTGCATCCCACCTTCCAAGACTGTATTAGAAGTGATAAAAGCTCTGGAATATGGCTAATTGGAGAGCTAGGTTCTGCGAGGTAGGTTTTTTTATTAGGCAATATTGAAAAGCTGTGTGTAAGCTGAAGCAACAAAAATGATCACTTGCTTTGATAACATTTTTCATACATATAAGAAAAGTAAAGAACTAGAAATCTAATCTTGCACTAGGAATAACTTTCTGAGCACAGTATTAAAAATGTGGTGTAAAAAAGGCCCAGGTTTAATTTAAAGTGAATGAAGGGTCTTAAGAATGCAGCCAAGTTTACAATAGTGAGCCTTTCTCCTCTGACTTGTTTGGTAAAGTTGGGGTAGTTTTCGTGGGAGGTAAGGTCTGTGTCCTAAAGTCAAAAAAACAGTAGCTAGTGTTAAAAAAAAAAAAAAGAATCTTTGAGGAGAGTGGGACAGGTGGAAATGGAAACCTTGTTTCTTCGATGAATGTTTTTGTAAGAAGACATAAGTGACAGAAAAATGGAAAGTTGGTTTGGTAGAGGACACACTGGACCGTCACCATAGCTGGAAAACAGAGCAGCATAGACTCTCCCTGTCCATCCATTTATGTTCTCTGTCCTCTAGCGCCCGGTGCACTCTCTCTTATTCCTTTTTTTATGCCCTTTATTTTGGTCTCTCTGTCCCTTTTTGTGCTCTCATCTTCTCTCTGCCTTTCTATGTCCTTTTTCTCCCCTGGCACTCTTATCTAATTTCTCCATATCTTCATTTATGTTTTATAAAGAAACTATGAATTTTAGGATAAGGAAAGGTTTTTTTTTTAAAGCCATTTGATGTAATCAATAGGGATTTTTCAGTAAGAAAAGAACACAGAAAAATTGGAAATTTTGTTATATTTAATAGCTCAGTGTGTTTCTGAATGTCTGTGGAGCGTGTAAGACCTAGTGAATCAGAGCTTTCTGAAAACATTATTTTTCATTAATAGTATACAATATACCATTTTAGCTGCTGTGAACTAGCTTTTAGACAGTCACTTAACCTTGATAATAATATGTAATCACATGTTCTTATTCTTACAGCTGCATCTTTCACAAGCCTACCTGTCCGGGAAGAAATGATGGCAAAATACTCTAACCTTTCCTTGGAGAGTCATAACATATCACTGACTGGTAAATGTATTGTGTTTCAAATAATATAATGCCAGATAATTTTTCATTTTTAATTAAGCTACTGTATGAATTATGAAGTACTAAAGCCTGCCAGACTGGCAGGAGAGACACACCAGTACCTTATACAGTCATAATACAGTGTGATGGGGTCCCGTGCGACCAGGCTGATGTGCCCTGTGTGAGGGAGGAGGCAGCCTTTCCAGGCATGGGGGTTAAATGCTCTCTAGAAGGAGGGCACCTGGGACGAGAGGAGGGCTCATTTTGATGTGCAGATGCTCTTCGGTTTTCATCACACCTTGCTGGTACATCTGTTCAAACCACTGTTCACTGAGAGGAGAATTCATGTATCTGCTGGAAGGCCTTTAGGCAAAAAATTAAAGATGTTATCTATGACTGCTATGGAAAATCAAGCGAAGAATCCTGACATAAAACTCAAGTCTGCTTTCTCTTTTCACAGTTTTGGATTCCAGTATTTTAAAAGTAATCTCAGAGTTCTTTAAATGAGCAAGAGTAGTTATCTGTTTTAGCAACAATATCAAAAGTATAATTAGAATTTTAATCCTATTTTTTAAGTCACTAATAAGTTTCATCCAATTATATGTCCAGGCTTTAACTGTCCTCTAGTTTAAGAACGGTTTCTCTATTTCTGTTTAATATGAATTAAAGGTGTGCCCCTCCCCCCAGTCTGATACCAGTGGAATATTTGCAGTGAGTTTTCTGGTAGGAGAACATTTTTATGACTTTGTGCAACCCCTGTTTGTTCCCAGATGTCCCCATCCTAGTATTTGGAGCTTATTCCTACTGTAAAAAGTAATTACAACACTCCTGTGTTGCTACTTCTTCTTTTACTTTTTGCGCGTTCTAGTTGTTGGTTTCCTTTGTTAGGATGGAATGTTTCTTTAAGAGAGATTTATGTGAAAACATAAGTTTGCAAATCCTTTGATTAGCCTGGTAATGCTGGCAGCAGCACACCCCTCACTTACCCTGTGTAGCTGGAGCCTGGGAAAAAAAGGGTCAGGTGCCCAAAGGGAGAGCAAAAATTGGGCTTTTTAGTTGATGTCAGGTTGGTTATTTACTTAACCCGTTTGGAGGGTTTCACTCCTAACCACTCTTTTATTCTGGTACCAGTATTCCTACAGTATTCATGAGAGCAGGTGTTCACAATTGTCCATCACTCACCTTCAGCTTTGGCCTGATCAAACTTTAGTCAGGCTTTTCTCTTCCTCCCAGACCCCTGAACTTGGCATGCCCCAAGTCTGAGCAAGCAGTAAATGCATGACCACAGCCCAATCGTGCTGTCTGCTTCTACCCAACAGTTGCCTCATTTCTTCTCAAAAGTTCCTGCTAGCCTGCTTACCCCTCCCTATAAGTCTTTTTCTATTTGACAGTGAGATACTTGTAGATCCAAAGCTTGGAGCATTTTTCCCTATTGCAATAGACTTCTGGAATAAAGTCTCTCCTTATTTAAGTCTAGGTTTGTTTTTATTTGACAAAAGAAAAGATTTGACATTAATTTCGAAACACAGGATCTCTGAACTGTGACCCTTCCCATCAAGAAGTTTGGTCTTAGGAACTGCCTTTATTGAAATATAGAATTTAAATCTGAAGACATATTTATGCTTATTAGGAACCATAGGCTTTCTTCTTATTGTTACCATCAGGATTTTTAATCTACTTCATAAATAGAATGTTTTCATATTTTGTCATATCATTGTTTACTTGAATTGTGCTTAACATTTCTGTGTTGTTACTTATTTTCTCTTCCCCTCTGGCCATTTTAGAAGTTGATCTCTCTGTTGGGATAAAAATTTTTTTTTACAGAGATGCAAATGTAGTACATTAGTTGCAGATTCTGGACCAGCATGACAACTTTTGGCCCAGTTCATAGCACATTTCCTCAAAGATGCTTGAGACTGGGAAACAGGTCCTGTGCCTTGGAGAGTGAAAAACATGACCTTTGGTTCATGAAAGCCTAACTGTTTACTTGTTTTATGTTTTTAAAATACTGCTAATCATTTACTTAACAGACATATGGTATCGACTATGTACCATGTATGTATTTCTACATATAACTTAGTTTAAACCTCCTAAGAACCCTAAGCAATGGGTACTATTACTATTTGCAATTTGCAGATGAGGAAAAAGAGGCACAAAGAGATCAAGTGAACTGACCATGGTCACAGGTGGTAAGTTGGGTGTTTGATTTTGAACCCAGACTGTCTGACACCAGGCGCCACGCTATTAGCCACGCTATTAACCATCATACTTTGCAGCCTTTCTTAATGCCCAGTTACTCATTTCTTTCAGCAGTGTTATTAATACAATTATACCTATTTTAAGGAAACTTAGATTCGCTATGAGACTATGGAAAGAAGTTTCAAAAACAATGAAAACAAAGGTATTTTGATTGCCCTTTGCTAAACAGGTTTGTCTTGGAAATTGCATTTGCCGAGATGATGGATATCTTTGTAAAAGTATAATTGACTTCACTAAGCATGAAGTGTTTTTTTCTTTTTTTTCCAGTTGTCTGATGTCACTGTGTTTCAAAAATTGATCTTTTAATAATGGACTATTTTAACATGACTGTGCTAGGTTTCCCAATGTCAATATTCAGAAGTCATTGTATTATAGCAATTAGAGTATTTCTTTATTGTTTTATTTTTTTCTTTCTCTGTGCATATTATAGTGTTTGGTGCCTCCATTAGTGTGTTATAGTTTAACCCAAGAGGTTAAAACCAAAGCATCAGCTGGCAGCTTTCTTGACTACCCTGGTAATGTTGGCATAGGCTCTCCCCACGGGCACATTTTATTTATCATTTTGAGATGTGAGCAGCTGGCCTGGCAAGGACCTCGTGAGACAGGGAGGTAGACAAAGCAGGCATTGGAGCTACAGATACATATATTAAGGCATGGAGTAAAATTTGGGAAGATTAGTCAAGGTCAGGAAAGGCAGCTATGTTGCTTAGACCAGCTAGACAAGAAGTTGTATTAGGACCATTCAGATTCCTGGTTCAAGTGCCTGGTCAATCAGATTGAAAAAAGAAAAGAAGCGAGAGTCCCTTACATTTGGCTGCTCAGACACTTTGTTGCAGGGAAGATCCCAGAATGACTCCAATGAGGTGCACATGTTTAGGATGTTTCTCAGAAGCAGACCACCAGTTATCAAATCTTATGTAGACTGTAGATGTACAGAAGAAAAAAAATGTGAATCCTAATATACACAGAGAGTGAAAGAGAAGGCAGAAGAGGGATCACCCATAGTAACACAATTGGTAGTGGCTGTTAGCAACTTTTGTTTTACACTAGGGTTTCTCATTAGCATAAATATTGACACTTTGGGTTGGATAACTCTTTGTTGCTGGAGTTGGGGGGAGCATGTTCAGGGCATTGTAGGATGTTTAGCAGCATCCTTGGCCTCTACCCACTAGATCTGAGTTTGTTTGAATTTTTTTCTATTGTAAACCATGAGCAATGAACACTTCTACATATCTCTTTCTGGGCATGGTTGTGTGTGTTCCTCTAGAATAATTGCCACAAGTAGAATTGCTGAGTTAGAAACTATGCACATTTTAATTTTAATACATACTTGCAAACTGCCCTCCAAAGTAGCCTGACAATTTACCCCTTCCCCCTATCTGCATATTTGAGTATAATTTTCTCTAGATCCTGACCAACCTTGATAGTATTAAACTCTTCACTTTTCTGAGTGTGAAAAACTGTACTATTATTGTTTTAATTTGCATCCTGGAGTTAGGCATACTTATATCTGTGTATGTTTATCTGTTAATACCCTTTATTCATTTTCCTATTGGGCTTATAAATTCTTCAATTTATGTAAATGAGACAGCTATACATTTTGAGTACTAATCTGTACTTTTTATAAAAGTTGCAAATGTTCTTTCTTGTCTTTAAAATTTTACATGGTGTTTTTTATTGTGTAGAAATTTCATTTACACATTTCTCCTAATATTTTCATAGGAGTTCTTAATAGGAGTTTTTAACCTTCAGTTTTTAAACCATTTAAAATATGGTTTTACGTATTGTGTGCGATAGAGCACTAACTTTATTACTATTTTATATAGATAGCTAATGTCCCAACACCCTTTACTGAACAGTTCTTTTTCCTACTGCTGTGAAGTAGCACACTAATCATATTCCAAATTCCCATATGCTATTCTGTGTCTCTACTGTTTCAATGTTTTTCAAACTTTTTATAGTGCTACACTAAGGAACAACTTACCTTGTAAACTGATGCACTACCATGCATGCACCCACACGTCAAGCAACACCCACACCTAATAGATGTGTTACACTTGATAATTTCTCTTTCCTTACAACCCATTAAAAAACAAATCTGGTGGTAACTACCAAATTGATTTCCTGATCCACTAATAGTTTCCAACTTGCTTCTGAAAAATTCTGCTTATTTATTCCATTAATTTTCTAGGTGTTTTCTAGCAGCACTAACAAATATTAATTTTTGAAACATTATACTTCATACTTTTGTTCTTTTTTTTTTTTTTTTTGCGGTACGCGGGCCTCTCACTGTTGTGGCCTCTCCCGTTGCGGAGCACAGGCTCCGGATGCGCAGGCTCAGCGGCCATGGCTCACAGGCCCAGCCGCTCCGCGGCATGTGGGATCTTCCCGGACCGGGGCACGAACCCGTGTCCCCTGCATCAGCAGGCGGACTCTCAACCACTGTGCCACCAGGGAAGCCCCTGTTCTTTTTTTAAAAGATAACTTTTCCTATTTCCTGGACTTTTACTCTTTCATGTGGGTTTTTTGTTTGTAATCAAGTTCCATAAAAAATACTTTTTGGATTTTGACTGATTTTTCACTGAATCTATAGATTAATTTGGGGGAGAATTAGTATTTTTATGATACTCTATTATCACCTGTGATGATTTAGATCTCATTTGACTTAGGTTATCTATTATAGTTAAAATTTTCCATATATATATAATTTTTAATAAACACTATATAATTAAGATGTACAACAT